ATGAACACATTCATCGGCCACGGTTTTTCGGCTAGTGGTTCTAAAGAGATAACGAACTGCTGTGGTATCGCCCGTAATCTTAGCACGATCTTTCTCGCTCCCAACTTTGCCATTGTCGTCTTGGGAACGATTCCGTCCTAAAAGCCGCTGAAGTATAATAGAACTGCGAGCATCTGCCCAAGGTTCGCCAGCGAGTAGTCTGCAGGAAGCCGATGGGTTCAACTGGGCTTGGCTTTCAGTGAGCTGGATGCGGGCGCGCCAGGTGGGTGGTGGATGTTACAGACCTCTTCCTGGCGTCCTGCATACACAGCACCTCTTAAGTGGTAACTTGGCGTCGTCGCCTGTTTCGTGGTTTGCACCAGTACTCGTAAATGTATGGCTCGGTCTGCCTCGATCCCGGTTTTCCCGTTCGTGCCAGTCGCGTGATCGCTAAATCAGTGCTTATTTGTCAGGTTCTAATTTGATGCGCTTGCAGAAAGGGTGTTACCGTCTCCCCCCTTTCACTTGTGATCACTTTCGAGTCCGGAATTTTGCACGCGAAAATTCTCGATTTCCGTTTTCTGACAAGTAGCACAAGATAGAAAGTTTTTCATGTTCATGTGCTATGGTGGTCGCTGCATACTGACAAGAGTGTCTCGAAGTAGCAAAATCACACTTTGACATCAGCGAGTTCAACGATCAAACCGAGCAAACAGATGACTGACTTCATACCTGAACTTCGTGTGCCTGCAGTCCTGTGTCGAGATGGTTTGGACGTTTCGTTTAATTAAACTGTGAGATTGTCTATAAAATACTTTTCATTAAGAATTTGCAGATAAATAATCACCGTAAAGAGAATGCGAGGCGAGCACCTTCAATGTTGATTAGCTCAGATAAGCAGCGTGCATAAGGAGATCGCCGAAGCTCGTGGGGAACAACTTTCTGAGGATGTCTCAGTGGCGAAAACAGGCTATGGAATTTCTTTTGCGCTGTCATATTTTCGGCTCAGTGAGCGATATGTCAATGACTGGTTGTTTGCCGATTTATAGAGCGACGAGGAACCCAGGGAGAAAAATAAATCAAGTGGAGGGAACGCAAGTACTCTTACGTATATTGTGTGGATAGACAATCCGGACCAGCTACACCACATTGGAAAAGTCACGGATCGCGTCAACATTGAGAGTTTGCGTAGGTGCAATTCAGAAAAGACCACTGCACACAAAAGAACACAAGTATTCGGAACACAACGACATACAGTCGGCTGTCTTATTTTCAGAAGAGTAAATAAGTTGGTTACCGCTGCTTGGTGCCACGGTAAATACAATGGTCCACTTCGATGAGCACTTCCGAGGAAGGCCCACAAATTCAACCAGGTTATTTGTGACTTAGCTTGAAGTCGATAGTTTTGAGTGGTCATCTATCAGCTCCGTATACGGACCACTTCAGGTGTCCACGACAACCTAGGATGCAAGGTTACTGCCCATTGTTTCACTACGCTGAAATCATAAAGAGCCAAATGACTGATCACACAACCCAAATCTCTTCTTAACATAGCTGAGTTGTACAAAAATTTCAGCAACACAAACATAAAACTTCCATATTCCTTCAGAAATAGACCAATCAGAGGAAGGCTACTGCCGTAGCGAGGTCATGGTCGCGTTCTCTGTCACACATGATCAAATGTTTAAAACGGGGTCCATTTTGACAGTTTGCCGGGACGTCGAGCTCGATAGTGCACAGACCAGATAGCACTCAGACCCAACATTAGAAACGCAGCTATATTCGGAGATGAGCAAGAAAAAAAGAACATGATTTCCATTCACATAGAAATCCCAAAACTTTTATGCAGCCCAATTAACATCGAAATTTCAGTCACACAGCGCACTACCACTCTCACCAGACGTACAGTTCATGGACCATAGGATCACGATCATCAGAAAAATCCTTTACGCTAATAGGTGCACATTGAAGCCTTCCGATTAAAGACCACTTTCCTGGAAAATATAAAGACTCGGTCCATGAAAGACACGTTTGAGTATGCGGGCCGAGACTAATTCCATCAGTTTGTTCCGATATCACACGCCTTGGCTGATAACCGTTGCCCGAAAAGTATAAAAGCCAACATTCAGCAAGTACACACAAATGATGCATTTCTACTACGTGATGTTAATTACAACCACCAATACTTGTGGGATAAAGATTCGGAATTTCAGGCGCCTTCTAATTCCATGATACATGCGGGAAATCAGGATTCGGGGTTGCCATTCAGTGAAATTATAAATGTAAAATAAGTACAGGAAAGCCTTAACAAGGGCATCCCGCCTCGCCAGTTTATGGTATGACTACACTTCGGATACGTTTATATTACTTGAGGTGGAAATACAAGAACCACATGGACAAAGTCAAATAACAGACACAACGGGTAAGCTGTTGTCAGCACACCACGGATGTAACCAGCTGTTGTTCACTGTTTTCTATCATACCAGGCACTAGCTTTGGCATATCATCAATACATCTTCAAACTTTTCCTAAGGTTAGCCTGTTGTTCCCTAACTAGGGTCAATCAAACCTTTCTCTCACGATGGTCTTGAAAATTTTACGGTCGTACTACCTCTTATTTACCGCAGTCGACACCCATTTCATATCTGTTCGTCAGCAAGTTATATACATCCTCACCTCCTCTGTATCACTGTGTTCTGAGGTTCAAGAGGTCAGTGTTGGCTCGATATTCAGTTCATTGATGGCCCTTGGTGTGCATTTGACTTGAGGAAACTTGGCTTCATGGGGCTCGGTGCGGTGTGTTCATCCCTTGATCTGGTCGTAAATTCATCCTATCACGGAAGGGCCTCGTTTAATGCAAAGCACCAATAGGATTTGATAAGCCTAAAGGATATCCATGAGTATTTCATTGCGAGGCACACAATGTCTATTTAAGACGCACTTGGTGGTGTGGTATCAATTGTTTTGACTAATGCACCCACTTTGAAAATAACATCACGCCCCGAAATTCAGTGTATTTTACTCTTCGCTTGGGTCCCGCGTTGGGAAGGTTCCGGTTCTACTGCTTTAGTGTGAGTTGCGAAGTTGTGGCAAATAGAATTAACGGCGATGCTAGTCATTTTGATGTGCCCGGTCACCGTTAGCCAGTTACTGGCTTTTACGTGAAGTTGTATGCGACAGACTTCCTATTCTGTTCGCTGTGCAAAACTTTTGTAGAGGAGCCTGAAAATTCATCGTAAATTAAACCACTCAACAAAACGGTCAGCCAGGAAATCGAATAAGTCAACTAGGGCAATGCGAGCAGGAGTCGTCTGCTCTTGTTCATTACCAAGTGGGCTGCCAAGTCAAACAACTCTGGTTTTGCCAGTACCGGCCGGTCACTGACACCTATTGTACGGCTTTTCGTGTCAATTCATCTGCTTGACTCACACACCCCTACTACACGATTTCTTGAGTCTGCCCCATTCACCGTGACGCCAACCTTCACTTGCTTCACGGATAGCCACTCTGGTTGTACCTGAGTCTGATCACATCCAGTGATTAATCTATTGCTTTCGCAAACCTGGAGCGCATGCACACTCACATGAATCAGTCAACCAGAAAGTAACCAGTGGAGCCACTGACATTATGGAAAATGAATGAATGGTGCTTGTACGTCAATAGCCCTGCAAAGCGTCCGTTGGGCGTCCCGTCAACTGAGCGAGCGACTCTAATTTCTTGAGAGAGAGAGAGAGAGTACGAATTTGCGCCCAAGCGAGAGGCTTTAAACCCACATCGAAATTGATCGAACTGCAGTGGGGCACTTTGGAACAAACTTCCACACGTCCTAAAGGCAATATCTGAACGTCTTACAAATGGTCCTGGAACAGTTTACCGTCATGTTGAAGGACCTTGAAGCGAAAAGCGTGTAAAGGCACGTTTTTATCTTATTCAAAGAGGACCGTTCTTTTCCCAACCTAACACAGCTGGCAAATTAAACAGCATAAGGTTATCGGCCTAGACAGCCGTCGGTCTTTTCAAGTAAGCATACTAAAGAGAGTCTCCTCAGACATCCCATCCCAGTTATGGAAAACTGCGTTATTGTTCCAAGCGTTCGTCAAAAATATCACCTCTCAAAGTGTGAACATGTGTCTGTTCCAAGGTTTGTCTAGCGTTTAGGTCGAATTGCAGAAGTTCCGAGCTCGAATCCCGGTACGCCACTTCTGATAGGCTCCAGTCAAAGCGGATCCCGAGTCTAGTGCTTCTTTCCTCTGTGCGGACTAAACATGACAATCACACCGGAACTGGCAAGCGACAGAGACGTGGATGAAAAACCTTGAAGGGCCATCGTGACAACAAAACACAATTGAACCTGGCTTATTCTATGGGATTTTTTTATGCAAATCTTTCAGTAAGTAGTACCACGCAACCGTTTTTTAGAAAAGCATTGTATGGTACAGATGGCTTTTTATTTCGAATTCAGTAGCCGTCGATGGGTGCTATCCAGCCTGTTCGACTTCTCTGGCAGATTTCCCCTTTGATTCCAACCTCATTCTGACCAACCTTGCCGCGTAACCGTATCTAATCAACAACTCACCATTCGAGAGATTCGTGTCGGAATTTTCAGGATCAAAAAGAATCGATCGTTGTATGTCTTTGTAAGGTTGCTGAAAATCCGTCGACAGTAACCTTATGAGTAGTACATTACAAAGATATACATGTATCGCGATATTTCAAATATCGTAGCGACTGAAACATGAGGCGGCCTGGTGCAGCACATTCAGTTGCCTGAGAACATCACAAACGAGAGATTCAGCTGGGTTCCAGGTGAGTCTCTCGAAAAAACCAAATTAGTTTGCAAATGAGTGTATATTCGCTAGGATCGATCGTTCTTTAGAAAAGACTGTTCTCGCCAAATACAAGTGAACGGAAAAGTGGATGGATAAAATGTCGTTTCCTCTGATGCGAACGATTACTGCCTGTTGATTGCGACCAACGATCCACCTGCAACGAACATGTTTTTTAAAGCTTTTCAAACCTCCCTGAATTTAACGTTTGAGTAAACCGGCAGTCGTAAAAATCCAAAGTTTCTCAGAAACTATCGTTTCTTCAAAATTTCTAATATTGAAATATGTCTACAAATTATGGCGCACTCTGTCGAGATGTTTCCGTGGCTTGTGGCATCAGGGCCAATTCACAACGAATGCACAGCGCAGCCGGTGGACTGAGGGTAAACCGCATGCATCTAGGGCATCGGGTGTCCGGAGGTGCGGTAGAGAGTCGTACACGGACTACCGACCCTTGGTATGGGACTGAAAGTATATGGATATCCGGGTCCTGTTCTTTGGTTGTACGTGCATCATCGCCAAAGGACCAACTGACAGAACCAGCGCGGAACAGTCGACACAGCTCTGAATTAGCACTGCCCAATGTTCTCGTCGGGTGAAGCATCTGAAATGGAGTAGAGCAGACTGTCTGTAAGAAAATTCACTGCAACCGAAACTCGGCGTTTCTTGCGTGATGGTGCGTTTGGCCTACAAACACATGTTGCACAATCAAACATGCACTGTTGGTTAACATTCTATCGCCAATGCTGGCATAAAATGGTAGTGAAACAAGGCTCACACATGCCTACAATGGTTCACCTGCTTCGAACGAAAACTTATGATCAGAGTCTGGGCACCACCTCGTTCGGCATTCTATTGTCCTTGAATGCAACCAAAGAGTTGACGTACCTGCAGCGATTCTTGGAGAGATGCGGTTTCTGAACATGGATCCAGATGGAGCCGAACATGTTTACCGACCAGTGGATTGACCGGAGCGCTGTTCAAGTTCAACTCAGAGGACATCTGATTGATAATTGATAAATAGAAGGCGTGAACGGTTTCGCATGCATGAGCCAAAGTTGCATAGCTAGCATAGTGTTCGATGGCTGAGAGACATGTTGACCAATCAGAGGTGGGCATGTTTGATGACAAACCACCATACAATGTGTTCAAAGAATAGCGTTCAAGCAGAGAGCGAGTATGAGAAGTGGAAGGCATCAAAGCATATGACTTCCAAGACCGTTGTATGGCTTCTTCACATTCCTCCATCAGGTACGGCATGATTGGAGATAGTAGCATTTTCAGGCTCTCGGTTGCCACCAAGAATATGGTCTGCACCATTCGCCGATCGAAGCTGTCGACAGGATCACAGTACAGGCTGTATGGGAAGGGACGTAGTGCTACAGTGAGTTCAATCTCAAAACACCCGATGACAGATTTACGGTACAAACTAAGTGAAATGTAATGTATTGAGCTAGAATGCTATATTCGGTCAAGCGACATAACAGGATGGTTGTGGTTGTTCCGATGAAAACTAACTTGGTGACTGGTAAACCGAGTTGATCTCGTATATTCATATGATTGATTAATCTGACGGAGCATCAGCTACCCTCAATGCAAGATGTTGCTGGTGTTTGTAGTTGCAACTGGAACCAAACTTTGTAAGGAAGCTTCCACCTGCGTCCAACAGGCGCCACGTAATTGACAGTATCTCGTGTACAAATCGTCAGCTACACGGACAGGATGGAAAGACAACTTTGACCAAAGAGAGCACGAAACCTCCAGTGATCTTGCAAGTTCTTTATGACCATAAAACGAAGTGATTGCCCCACACATGTTGGACGATGGGCGCAGAGAAATAGAATCGCGTCATGCAACTAACAGGCGTTACGTCAGTTCGTTAAAACACTTCCCACTGAGCAGCTGTTCCCAGTGAATGTGGGTAATTTTCAGATTAGTTGAGCACCAAGCGCATTCACAACCAGTCTTGTTTTAGGTTTTGCTTATTACACCGACTGCAGTCCAAACCTGATGGAATGAGCTACATGCATCCGCGTTACTGTACATGTATGATGTGTCATCTCCTAGTTGGTTATGTGAAGATGGCATCATCAGTGTGCTTCATGAACAGACGCAGATAACTAGGTCACTGGTCTGACTTAGAATCAGGTTGGAATGATCTGCGAAGAGAAATGGGGCACAAGTTGTGGGCTGTGACACACCAGCAAGTGAAAATAAAGAGCGTGAAGGCTTGATTAGAGGAATTTGGGAATCCAAGTGTTAAATCAACGGGAAAAGCACTCACATATCTTTAACTGCCGTTATATACATAGAAGATAGACGGGAGAGCAACTGATCTACTTCAGAAAGGAGAGCGTTGAACCGGTAGGTGGGATAATATTCGGATCGAGCCGATTTTACAAGGCATCCAAGCCAATATAGGACTGTGCAGTTTAGGGCACCCGGTTTTTGGCACTGGGAGCTTGGAGAAGTTGCCTCAATGATGTCGAAAATGAGCTGGTTCACATTTGTACATTTCACGGCCTGTGTGTCACGGAGGTATGCCAGCTGACTTATCGGTGAAAAGTCCACGAGGTTACCCAACATGAAACGCAGGCTATTGCGTAGCTGAGAGAAATATGAAAGAACAGGTCAACAGAAAGGGTGAGACCGACAATGAGACTGAAAAACAGAAGTCAGACGTGAAATATATGCGAGACCATCCATCTGCCACTTGATTAGACGACCAGCTAAGCCATAAAGGGTTATTGTGATAGTGTAACTCTCATGTAATATGCAAATTATACTGACTTAGGATCTGGTGCGTGGTGAACGTAGTCTGGATAGGGACTTAGAGGTAAGGTGGGGCTAGGTTAGGACATTTGGCAGCGCGGTAGATGTTTTTGAGGGTACTGTGGAGCAACGGACTGTTGCAGCCGTGTGTAAACAGAGGGTATTCACCTGTCGATCCATTTTCATGTGAAGAAAGCCGAGGACATCAAGTTTCACCCTATTCTTCACCTTCTTCCAAAAGTACTTGATAATAATGAGCTCTAACGATTAAATTGCGAAGTATAGGAAATCGTCCACCTCGGTTGAACGGTTTAGGAATCAGACAGGTTCGAGAACGTCCATTACGACATGTCATTAGTTCCACTAGATCTTAGACAGTACTAAGCAGATGTGAGGGTGGGTGACAAGACCACCTGAGTGAAACAGGTAGCTGATCACGCCGTCACTGGTATGGACGGCGTGGATTAAGAACTGATTAAACGATAAACAGAAACACAGGCAATCACGTTTAAGGGATAGGCAGAGCTGCTT